AAGAATAAAAAGCAAAGAAACTTCTTTCCATCTGAGAAATGCTTCAGAGGGGCATAAAGATGTTAAACCAATGATAAAAAAATACAAGGGGGAAAAAAAAATACACTCCTGATAGTTGAGAAAGCAAAACTAAGTAGTATGAATTCTAGGCAGAATCTGATTCAATGAATTTTCTCTCCTACAGGTTCCTTTTCTGAAAATGAATGCTTTCTAAACAACAAGAGCAGCTACAATTTACCACTCATGTGCCAAGCACATACATTACATATGCAAGTCTAAGTAATGTAATATAACTTTTTTTCTGTCTAACTATTTATCCCTCCTTATGTTTTCAAACTTTTGCTTGCTTTTTAGCAACATTTGGTAAAAATGAAATGCTGAAGTTCTTTAAATTTCGGGCTGCAGTGGTAGGAACTAGAAAAAAAAAGAACCTTTATCTAGTGTCTATTATATGCTGGGCACATGTTGGGCACAGGATACCTGCACACTAACATTTGAGAAGGGCATTATTTTCTCCTTGGTGTTCAGAAAACTTAAAAGCAAGTTCTCCAAGATTTTAAAATAAAAAGCAGCTGAGATCAGGTAAAACCCATTATCTGCTGGACTGGAAAGTCTGTGCTTTTCTACCTCATCCTTTCAGATGGTGACAGGTTCTTAAAAGAACAAAGCTAATTAAAAATAAATTTGATCAACAAAAACATAATTGACAGAATAAACTATGGCTTAAATTTAATATACTAAACAGGATGTTTTATGAATAAACCAAGATATGTAATAGGCTTTAACATTCAAAATATACAGAAAATGGTCCCTGTTATTAAATTAGGTTGTAATCTTGGCTGTATGTGTGAACTTAATATCTGAGTCTCAATTTCCTCATTTGTAAGAAGAGGGTATTAGTTATCTTAAAGAGGTGTGTTAAAAAGATTAAAGATTAACATAATACAGATAATGGTGAATACAGATCCTCATACATGTAAGTCCTACACCTCTGTGAGTTTGTAAAGGATGCTAACAAACACAGTACAAATGTTTCTTTTTTTTTCAGTTACTAGGTAAAAACCACAACTGCCCCCAATCCATATCCAGTGCTTAAAAATTTTCCTTAAACGTTGTATCTTAGTACAAATCTGATACAGATGAAAAACAAACGATGTACACAGAAGAACAAAGACTAAAGTTACTGGTTAGAGAAGGGGAGAGGAAGCTCAGAAACCTTAAAAAAGGAGGAAAACACCTCACAAAGTCAAAGTACCATGCCTTCTGAAAGTCTCCCAGATAAACCTTAACAATTACAAATGCCGCCTATTATTTATCCGCCAGGATACTTTCGGGCTTTATCCAGGGTAGACTGCTATGACAGTTTATACCTTTTCATACCTGCACTGATTTTATATGTTGCCCAATCCTCCTCTGAGTGGGAAAGTGAGTCTGTTATAGGAAAAGTGCAAAAGTTGTATTTGGTATAGAATCCAGTAATGCTGTACTTCTAGATGTGCCCTGAGCATGTGTTTATTTTTTCACGTTTATGCCTTTTACCTGTCTGGTTCATCCTCCCTCTTCTCTAACAGAAGAACTGCTACTCATCTTTCTGGACACAGTTCAAATGTCAACTCCTGAGGCCATTAGTACTTCCCAAGGTAGGGTTAGTTCTACCTACCCTATGTTTCCAGAGTGCTTGGTATACACCCTTACTTGCCTCACTGCAATATAATTAATTCACCGAATGCTTGTTTCTCATACTAGATGGTTTTTAAGTTCCTTGAAGGTAATGATAGTGTGTGTATATGGTAGAATTTTCAATGTCTAAGCGTCATTTCTAATGTTGTTGCTGCCAGTCTACATTGTCCAGTATTTCAACCTATCTAGAAAAGTAGTGGAAAACTTAATGTGCTTAAGGACACTTTTTTTTATCAGTAGAAAGGAAACTAGGCTAACTATGCTTTTTGGTTATGTACTGGGCACATCAAGGGTTTTTTTTGGTGCAGGAGGGGCACATCAGTTTTAAAACTGTAAGTACTTAGCATTTTTAGGCCTGAAAGGAAATTTAGATTTCTCACTTCAAACTTCCTAAGGGCTAACTGACAAGTCCAGGGTCATAGAGTTAATCATTAACTGAGCCAGCAGATTTGAGCAGATCATTCCCTTAACCTTACTGACCATACTGCTTTAATAATGCCAACACAACCTTACTGGGCCTTTGTCCACAGATAGGAATTACCATTCAGTTGATCTGCAGAGAGGAATACAGGAGCTGAGGTCTGTGATTATGATACCTAAAGTTATATATATCATGACTTACAAAAAGAAAAGGCCTCTAACCAATGCTCTGTGGTCAATTAAGTAGATTATCAGTGTTTTACATGTTAAGGAACCCTGCCTACTGTTTTCTGTAGCAGTATGAGTAGTACAGTATTAACCTAGTTCTACTGTTTCTTTAGTAAAGGTAACATGTATTTTATAGATGATTAAAGATATTTTGGATAAGCAGCAAACTGAAATCTGAGAGGTTACTGCCAAGTTTCTAGTTTCATTTGAGAAGTATGATATTCAAATGGTCATGAAATAAAATATACACAGTCCATTTTCATTTTTATACCTTTTTATAATTCATATTGTTAAAGGTCTATACATTGCATATATTTCAGTAAAAGCATTTCAATAGAAAACTGTAACTTTAAATTCCCATTTGCTTTAGATAAAGGTAAATACTGTAACCATAAGTATTCTCAGAAGCTTATTATTTTGGTAATATTTATCAAAGTATCATTTTTAAAGTTTTTAAAAAATTCTCTTTAAAAACCTGAAATTTCAACATAGCATTTAATCTAAAATACACTTTCAATTAATTAAAATGCATTTATTCTTTATATATCCTTAATAACATTCAATATACCTAAATACTATTTTCAGCATGGTTTCTAAACAGTGTATGTTTGATGTGGATGTTAAATATAGAATTGAAAACACAATTCTATTCTGTTCTATACAAATACCTAATAAATCCTGAGTAAGGTAGTTAGTAACACAATATATAAGTAGGTTTGGCTTATGAAATTTCCTAATGGTTCTCAAAAGAAATCCAAGTTCAGAATTCAGTGGCCTTCCCCTTCCCTGTGGCTTGTCCTGACACATGAGACAGTAGAGAGAACTACCTCCAAGTAGTGAATGCTGTTATGATTAGGGAATACTGGAGGGAATAATGGTTACCTCTTGTGTGTATACTCTTTTCAGGCTGTTCTATTTTGCCCTTTTGTTTTAAACATGAAAAAACTACGAAACACTGAAAATAGGTTGTTTCTTAAAATCAATGTCAGGCTAAGAGAAATAGGATGAATTTTTCACTTACAAATCTGATATTTTTTTTTTCACCTGTGTAGTCCTGCTAAATATTAATATGCAATTTAACTTTTATTACTTTCATAGAATTATGGCAATAAATTACAAGAAAATTGCACAGTTACATGGTTTAGCAGTTCTGTCAAGTTTTAAATATGATTTCTGTTAATCTAGCAGAAATCATCTGTTATACTGTTGAACCACCTACCCCTGCACAGCACACAACTGTTAAAATGTAAATTGCCCAACTATTTTTAGCTGTTGTTGAAAAAAAATTCCTGTCTTCGGGAATAATGATTTGAGGCATTGTGTTCATTTTGTTTATCAAGCAGCTATTCAGCCTCTAGTGGGCCCAAGTGCTTATGCAAGCAAAAGCTTTTAAGAATGCCTGCAGCTGCAATCCAACTTTCCAGGTAGGCTGCAGGTTCAGAGCACAGCTGCCCTAGGCTGCATAAAAGTCAGATCCATCTGGAACTGAGTTTCAAAGAGGATTTCAAATTTGAGTTTTCATGTATCACACGAAAGAGAAGGCAGGGGAAGAACACAGGAAAGAAGGAAGGCAAACAACCAAAAAGATGATATCTCTACTTCAGCCTTAATAAAAAATAAAAAGCTCAGACCCATGCTGCTCCTTCTAGATTACTACTTGCCAAGCCGGATATTCCATTCAGCATATACTTCGATGAGCTGTGACTCATCCAGCAGCACCTGCGCCCATGTGTTAAGTACTGCCAAATAAAAGCCCAACATCCATTTACACAACAAAGAGATGTACCCTACAAGGCATGGGGCCTCAATCCAAAAGCCCCACTCCCCGTTTGTTCTAAGCCAAGAGAAAGGAGAAAAAAAAAATCTTCCTTGCTCACACCAGAGATTTTTAAAATGTAGGTGGATTTATGATGTAGGTTCATTTACAAATACTTTTACTCTTTAAAAGAATAAAGTATATTTAATAGGACAAACACCCCTCCAGCATTAGATTATCACAGCCATTAATGATCGTTCACCAAACCTTTCCAACCTCCTTCACGAAAGCTCTTTATTCTCAAAGGATATATTTTTTGAGCAAAGGGGGATCAACAAACTAGTTGCTTGAAAGCTTTCCTGATGCTAGGCTGAAGTTAGGAAAGGCTTAATGAAGGCTTTAAAATCCACAAGGGCTTCACAATGAACATCTGACTCGGTGATTTATGCATATTAATAACTTCAGTCCTACTGAGGCAAGCTGAGCCGAACATGTCCTCCGAATCTTAATGTCTTTAGCTCCACTGGGATTATTACAAATGTAAATTTCTAAGATTCTCAGCTATTAATCTCTGTCTGTCCTCCTGTTCAGCAACATAATGACTAATTAAACATCAAAAGACCTGTACAGGAGATCTTCTTTGACAGCTACCGGCCTAGTCCTCTTCCCAAGAGAGAAATTCAAATGACAGGGACACGGAGTAACAGCATATGAGTAAGCTACAAATTACTGCAGAGAAATCTGAAAACCTAACATTAAATGTGGATTTATCTCAATCAATGATTCCATTAAACAGTGAACAGTTACTATGTGAAGTGTGCCTGCTGACACCAATCGAAGATATCCTTACAGCCAGCAAATACTGAATACTTGAAATCGGTTTGTTTACCACCAAGTCAAAAAAATGGGTACTTACTGAAGAAGGCAAACCAGGAGGCACCTTTCTGACTTTCTTTGCTTGCAAAGGATCTGCATATGGAAAACAATATATTTCATCAGCATTTATATTAAAAAAGGTCAGACTTCAAGTGAACAGGAAAGAATTTCTCCTTCTAGTGCCTTGTTTTCCAGTACTTAGAAATAAGCAAGGGCATACAGGGATGGGGGTTTCATTCTTTCTAACTGGTTCCTGGGCAAAACAGTTCTCCTAATGAAGTGATATATTCTGAAATACATATCGCATAAGTTTAGGAAGATGAAAGCAAACAAAGTAAAACAAGAAAGAAAATAACAAACCAATAAGCATGTGTGAAGGGAATTTACATTTCTTAAAAACCCATTATGTGCCAGGCTCCATACCAGGCACTTTATATCACATATCTCACTTTCATTTGCAGAGGGCATTTGGTGCAACAAGTCACTTTAATAATACAACTGCTTAGGGCGCCTGGATGGCTCAGTTGGTTAAGCGGCTGCCTTTGGCTCAGCTCATGATCTCAGGGTCCTGGGATTGAGTCCTGCCTTGGGCTCCCTGCTCAGCAGGAAGTCTGCTTCTCTGCCTCTGCCTCTCCTCCCTGCTCATGCTCTCTCTCTAATAAAATAAAATCTTAAAAGAAAAAATAATACAACTGCTTAACAGAGACACAAATTTAGTGTCCACATCACATGAAGAATTAGGTTTAAAAGCATATTAAACAGACTGAAAGCTAATGCTGTGCTACAGCTTACTAGGTTAAAAATTTAAATGAAAAATTATACTTGTAATCATGTCAGAGAAATACCACATAAACTATTAAATACAGGCACTACTGTCATATACAATGTCATCTAGTATTCTGTAAGAACATTTACTGTTTACAATGCGTGGTTAAAACTGCAAATTCAGCACTAATTATTGTGTGATTTATCTGTGGATGTTTATATTATTTCAAAAATAACTAGAGAAAGCATATTTCTTTATAAGACATAAATCATTTATTGACATAAATGAGAACATGCGTATTTTCACAGATACTTAATCAGCTTCACTTGGTATTTTAATTTTACTTATCTGTAAAACTTAAAATTTAAAACTTGTCCATCTTATTTACTGTAAGAAAAAAAAAAAGGTGGTAAGTGCAGCTTTCCAATCTTACACAAATAATGGATGAAATTCAGGATTTTTCAGAGGGGTTCACTATTAAGAAGGCTGATATTAAAGTATACTGTTTTGCAAACTGTAAATATGAGAATTAAACAAGTATCCATTTTCCTGGGTCATAAATTATAAGACACACAGTTGTTTAAGAAAGAATTAAATTCATTTTTTAAATTAGGGCTGGGCGTCTTTAAATTTTATATTCTAGGAGGCTGCAAAGCTAATAAAGCATCTTTAGAAGTAGCATGTGGAAAAATTTTATACAATAAAAAAGAGGGAAAAGCATTCATTACCATCTAAGTCCGTACACCAAGAGGCAGCCTATATTTCCTTAAAACAAAAGTACCAAAGATAAACAACATCTGGCACACTCTATACTTATAAAACTTAAGAAGCAAATTTTTTGTTCTTTGTGAGGCTTTTCTAGAACTCTTCATAACTAATAAATACAGTATCCTTTGAGCAAAAGCCACACTCTACACCAAGAGAGTTAACTGCACTGCTCCTATCAGTTTGGAGCTCATCAATCTATTTTGGATTAATTACTAGCAGAAGATGTTCTATTTAGTTTAGGACAGTTTATACCTCCTATGTGAATAGAAATGTTTCTTTTCTTTTTTTTTTTTAATTGGGGGGGAGGCGCAGAGGGAGAGTGAGAGAGAATCTTAAGCAGGCTCCACGCCCAGCATAGAGCTTGACACCGGGCTTGATCTCACAACCCTGAGATCATGACCTGAGCCCAAATCAAGAGTCAGATGCTTAACCGACTGAGCCACCCAGGCACCCGGAAATGCTTCTTTTATATTTTTATCTCATCATTGGCTGCCACTACACAATTACATCCATAATGTTGTATTTAAAAACATAAATTTGGGATTCATAGTTCACTTCTGAGGGGTTGCAAAGTCTAACAGTTAAGAGAGTAAGCTGGCTGGATTCAAATTTCAGCTCCTAATTTCAGCAGCAACAAATACAGCAGCTGTGTGAACTTGGGCAAGTTACTTTTAACCTCTTTGTGCTTCAGTTACCTAAGATGTAAAAAGAGGATAACACCTCTTAGAGTTATTGTAGTAAAGATAATACGTGAAAAATGTTCGGGGCAGTGCGTGACAGAGAGTGACAATAAATTTTAGCCATTATTACTATGTTTATATTAAATTATGTGGCAAAATATTATAAATTAGATAGCTAGATGCTGTTTTGCAGAATGCGGATTTCGTAAAGCATCCAAGTAGCCTGAGAAGATACTGAAGTGGGTATAGATGATCTCTGAAGTCCTTTCAACTCTGAGATTTTATGAATAACTGCAATGCCAAGAAAGAGTGGCTGACTGAAAAATAACAATGAAGAATGGAATAATACTCCACTAAGTGGTATTCATACAGGAAATGAGTGGGCTTCCCTCGGTACCAAGCCTTGGCTAAGTTGCTTAGCTTCCCGGGTCTGGATTCCTCATCTGTAACATGAGGTTAGTATTACAACCTCATAGAATTTTGTAAAGATTTTGTTAAGATATGGAGGAGACAACAGTATTTATCACTCATAATCAAAATGAAAATGAAGATATAAGTTTTAACTTCTGGAAAACTTGAGTTTTTATACCTCAACCCCAATTCCTAGTCAATCAATAGCTCATTTTCTCCCTGAACTTTTAGTAATATTATACTGGTCCATAATAATGCATTTTGACATAGTATGTGCTCACATAGCATACTAACAAGATATTTCTCTAGTGACATGGCAGATCTAGACTCAAATGAGTGTTCCTACCCTAACTTATTTGGTGGGAAACAAAAGTGAAGATGGAGAAAAGATGCTTTACAATTTATCATTTCTTTAGTAACAAACATTATACTGGTCTAAATCATCTGGGCTTACTTTATTACACATACTAAGTCACCCATAATGCTGAGAGGTGGGCACATCTAGTCAGAGCTCTCTATGCCAAGCATGACCATCATTACCCTTTTATATACTCAAGCATACTCTAGATCCAGGGATGAGGGCTATTTCATAAAAATCTAGGTTTGACAGAAGGTAGATATATAAACTGAAGGCAGTCAACAAATATTTTTGGAATAAATAACTATGACATACTTTCTTTTACTAGGCTATATTTATTTCAGAAGCTGGCCTATCCTTGATAGAAACATCCTGTACAACTTCAATTTTGTGTAAAGGAAGATTCCTATAAAGGAATCACCAAAAATTCTCACATTTATATACTACCTGGATAAGGTGCCAGAGTATACCTGAGGCTTGCTGTAAGCAGCAACACAAAACAGACTGGCCTGGTTAGGCTATGTATAAGGCATAAAAGAAGGAAGTTAAAGAAAATGAGGGTTCAAAACTTCATAGGTACCTAGTTTCCTTTTGAGGTGATGCTTTGGAACGAAACAGAAATGATGGCAGCATAGCACTATGAATGTACTAAATATCACTGACTTTTACATTTTACCTCAGTTTTTTAAAAAATGGGAGTAGAAAACTTAAAATGCAAAGAACACTGGATGTGGAGTCAGAAAATCTTAAATTTTATCTCGGGTAAACCATCTACTAATTATATGAATGCGTCCTCTTGAGCCTCATTTTCTGTTAAATCTAGTATTACATCCACTGACCAGCAGGGCTGTTGGAACAACGAGATGACAAAGTATATAAAACACATTGTAAACTGTTCAGCATTATACCAATCTTAGTCAAAAATAAGGTGTTAATATTAGCCCATGACATTTTTATTGTAATAGGAAAAACTAGTCCCATTTTTCACTATTTAGTTCCTTTTATGATGACCAAACAAGATTATATTATATTATTAAATATCTAACACATACATTATTTTATGCAAATAAGCCCTAATATCAACATCATACCTAAGAAACCAAATTTCTACTAAATAAAAGTGCAGCCAGAAGACTAAGAGGTTAAAAAAAAAAAAAGAAAAAGAAAAAAGAAACATTTGTAAGATAGGATTTGTTGTACAACACACTTACCAAGTGCTGCAGAGTCATGGAGTGGTCTTCTCCTGGAACTTGTGGCAGAGAATGAGTAGTATGGTGTTCCAGGTTTTCCTGAAGAAGACAGCTGTGCTGGGCTTCCAAGCCCCAGATCTTGTCTCAGGAGACTAGACTATAAAACAAAGCCAAGGAAACAAGTTATCATCTTCCCACAGATACCAACCCAAACCTGAAAATATCATCACTTTTGAGTTATTCAGATGGTTATTCAGAGGATGCTAGAACCTTCAACAATGCCTTGAATTTAGATGCATCTGATAAATATTTGAGTTCTATTAGACCATTGGTTTAAACCTATATTTTCTTTTTCCCTATCCTCATGCTTTCTAGTAATTATTCAGACCTATACAATCTTAAGGTTGAAAAACACTTTAGTTACTATGTGGTTCTACCCTTTAAGCATCAAGAATATTTTTGAAAAATGGCCACCAAGTCTTTGCTTGAATGCTTTCATGACCATACAAGGCAGTCAACTGTTCTTTTTCCTTTTCTTTTTTCTTTTAGGATAGCTTTCATTGTTTGAAGATTGCCAATACTGTCAAGACCAGCCATTCCTGTTTTCTTCAATTGTGTTACATGGCATGGGTTTAAATGTAATCCTCACCATCTCTGATATAAGACCTCTAGATTTATTTTCAGTTTGTCAAAGTGTCTTGTAAAATGGAATGGACGACAATGCCCCAGATGTGGCCTGATTAGTGCAGAGTCATTTTCAATGCTGCATTTAAACAACCGTTTGTGCTAGCTCATATTAAAAGGTTAGGAGTGATCACATGCTGTTACTCTTTACTGCATATGTTGCTATTAAATCCTGTCCCCTCCAACGGTTTCCTTGTTCAGTTGTGTTTTTTGGTCGCAGGTACAACAGTTAATGTTTACCTGATAAAATGCATCTTCTTACATTTTATCCATAATCATTCATTTCTGCCTTTTTTAGATTCTGAGTCTGTCAACCAATGCATTTGCTAGTTTTTCTAGTATTGGGGCACAAAAAATGGGATTAAAAAAAAGAAGATATCAGGATGAAAATACTGAGGAGATCCCTATGCTATGCTACAGTGACATGAGACTTTGTCAAGTGCTTCACTGAAATTCAGAGATTCAGCAGCCCTGACCTACTAAACCAGTGACCCTAACATAAAGCAAATGAAGTCAATTTGGCAGAATTTGGTTCCAACCTTTCTGATAGCTAAGGGAAAAAGACCTCAACTGGAAAGGGTGCTGGATACAGTTCAGAGGATAGTCTCATGTGAAAAGAGCTCTGATCCCTCTGATACATAGACTATCCTCCTACCCCATATTTAATACCTGCCGTCACCATACTCTTAGTAGTTGTCCTTTTAGTCACTGATTATCACAGAGGTACTGAGAAATAAACCTCAGCTCTGGTTAAAAAAAATCAGCAGAACTCTGTAATAGCGGTCATAGTAGCCCAGTTCCTACCTCCATTCTAATAATCAAGAAAAGCTCTTTCAGCTTATCACATATTTAATGATTTTAAGTAATTTTTATTATGTTTTAGCTTGAAAAAATTGAGGTGGAATTCACACAGCATACAATTAACCATTTCAAAGTTTCCAATCAGTGACATTTGGTGCACTCACAATGTTATATGACCATCACCATCTAGTTACAGAACATTTTTATCACCTCCAAAGGAAACCCTATAGCCATTAAACAGTAACTTCCATTGTTCCCCTCCTCTAGCCTTTGTAACAACTAATCTCCTATCTCTATGAATTTACCTGTTCTGAATATTTCATATAATTTGGAACCATATGTGACCTTCCACTTCACATTTTTTTGAAGTGCATCCTCGTTGTAGTTTGTATCAGTACTTCATTCCTTATTAGGGCTGAATAATATTCCATTGTATAGATACACTACAGTTTATCCATTCATTCATTGATGGGACATTTTGGTTGTTTCAAGCTTTGGACTATTGTGCATAGTGTTGCTATGAACATCTGCGTATGGGTATTTGCCTGAGTACCTGTTTTCAATTCTTTTGGGTAATACTTAGAAGTAGAATTGCTGGGTCATGTGGCAGTTCTATGTTTAACTTTTTGAGGAACTTCCAAACTGTTTCCCACAATGGCTGTGCCATTTTACATTCCCACCAGCAACGGATGAGGATTTTAACTACATCCTTACCAACACCTGTTACTTGTTTTTTTAAAAATTATAGCCATCCTTGTGGGTATCAAGTAGTATCTTACTGTGGTTTGATTTGCATTTCCCTAATGATTAATGATGTTGAGTATTCCTTCATGGGCTTGATAGCCTTTGTATTTCTTTTTTAGAAAAATATCAATTCAAGTCCTTTGACCATTCCATTTTTGAATTGGGCTGTGTTTCTACTATTACACTGTAAGAATTCTTATACATTATGTTTTGAATACTAGACATTTATCAGACATATGATTTGCATGTCCCATTTTGTAGGCTGTCTTTCACTTTTTTTTTTTTATAGATTTTATTTATTTATTTGAGAGAGAGAGAGAGCACACATACAAGCAGGGGGAGCAGGAGAGGGAGAAGCAGACTCCCTGCCGAGCAGGGAGCCCGATGTGGGGCTCAATCTCAGGACCCTGGGATCATGACCTGAGCCAAAGGCAGCCGCTTAACCAACTGAGCCACCCAAGGCACCCCCTGTCTTTTCACTTCTTAATGTCCCTGGATAAACACAAGTTTTTAATTTTGATGAAGTCTAATTTACCTTATTTTTTCTTTTCTCTGTTGTGCTTTTGATGTCATATCTAAGCATCCACTGCCTAAGTCAAGGTAATGAAGATTTATCCCTGTATTTTCTTCTAAGAGTATGTAGTTTTAGCTCATACCCAGATCATTGATGCACTTTGAGTTAATTTTTGTTTATGGTAGAAGGTAGGGGGCCAACTTCATTTGTTTGAATGTGGATATCCAGTTATGCTAGCACCATTTGTTGAAAAGAATAGTATTTCTTTATTCAGTGGTCTTGGTACCCTTTGCTGAAAACCAATTGCTCATGGATACTTGGGTTTATTTCTGGACTCTCAATTCTATCCCATTTGTCTGTATGTCTACCTTATGCCAGCTCCATAGTGTAGCTTTGTATTAAGTTTTGAAATTGAAAAGTGTACTCCAACTTTACTTTTCTTTTTCAATATTGTTTTGGCTATTTGGGGTTCTTTGAAATTGCACATAACTTTGAGAATCAGCTTTTCCATTTATGTAAAAAGATACCACTGGAATTTTGATAGGGACTGCACTTTGAGGAGTTTTGTCATCTAACAACATTAAGTCTTCTGACTAATAAACACTGAATATGTTCCCATTTATTTAGGTATTCTTTAATTTCTTTCAGCAATGCTTTGTAGTTTCCTGTACATAAGTCTTACACTTTGTAGTTAAATTTATTCCTAGGTATCTTATTCTTTTTGGATGCTAAATGGAGTTGGTGACTTAATTTATTTTTGGTTTGTTCATTATTAGTGTATAGAATACAACTAGTTTTTGTGTGTTAATCTTCAATTTTGCAACTATGGCAAATTCATTTATTAGCTCAAAGTTTTTTTTTAAAGATTTTATTTATTTATTTGAGAGAGAGAGAGCACACGAGAGAGACAGAGATCACAAGCAGGGCGGAGGGGTAGAGGGAGAAGCAGACTCCCTGCCAAGCAGGGAGCCTGATGTGGGACTCGATCCCAGAACCCTGGGATCATGACCCGAGTCGAAGGCAGACACCCAACTGACTGAGTGACCCAGATGCCCTTAGCTCAAATAGTTTTACTGTGGATTCTGTATATGTAAGATCACACTATCTGCAAATAGGGAAAGTTTTACTTCTTTCATTCCAATTTAGATGCCTTTATTTCTTTTTCTTGCCTAATTGCTCTGGTTAGAACTTCTAGTAAAATGTTCAGGACACTTGGGTGGCTCAGTTGGTTAAGCATCTGACTCTTGATTTTGGCTTAGGTCAAGATCTCAGGGTTGTGAGATTGAGTGCCATGTCAGGCTCTGAGCTGGGAATGGAGCCTACTTAAGATTCCCTCTCTCTGCCCCTCTTCCACTGCTCGTGCTCTCTCTCTCTAAAAAAAGAACTTCTAGTAAAATGTTCAATGTAAGTGGTGAAAGTAGACATCCTTGCCTTTTTTTTTTTAAGATTTTATTTATTTGGGGGCGCCTGGGTGGCTCAGTTGGTTAAGCGACTGCCTTCGGCTCAGGTCATGATCCTGGAGTCCCGGGATTGAGTCCCACATCGGGCTCCCTGCT